TGACCATCAGACCCTCCAACCATCTGACCATCAGACCCTCCAACCATCTGACCATCAGACCCTCCGACCATCTGACCATCATATCCTCCAACCATCAGACCCTCCGACCATCTGACCATCATATCCTCCGACCATCAGACCCTCCAACCATCAGACCCTCCAACCATCTGACCATCAGACCCTCCGACCATCTGACCATCATATCCTCCAACCATCAGACCCTCCGACCATCTGACCATCAGACCCTCCAACCATCAGACCCTCCGACCATCAGACCATCTGTCCATCAGTCCATCAGACTGAGACCATCAGACCGACCCCTGCGGTGCAGAGCTCTCCTCCCCATGAAGCGTCCCTCAGCATCCCACACTAACCAGCTTCCTCCATGTTTCCTTGGAGCGGGACTTTGGTGAACAATGCAAACCTTTTAACCCCCCCCCACCCAGAGCAAGTCAGACAATATGCAACAGACTGCCCTGTCCGCACTCAGACACAGCCAGTCACACGTCTGTCCTGCCTGTTGATTTCCAGGCTGTTTGCAGATCTCTGGAAACACCCTTAGCTGTAGAGAACTCATCATCTTCTTCATCATCATCATGGCTGACCCGCCGGAGCGGGCGCTGACTCTGTATTGGTCCGTCTGTTTTTGAAGCATGCATTTGGTATCATTAATGTCACTCTGTGTTGGTAAATCATTTAGGCTACTGTCACTCTGTGTGCTTTGATCTCTCCATGCCTGCTTTCTTCCTCTTTGCTCTCACGCAGAGACACACTTATATTTACATCCCTTCCAGTTGGATCTGTTGCAGCGCCTCTGAGCGACGCCGGCTGACCCTGACAATGTGCAGTGGCGTATATTTGACTGCAGCTCCGGCCTCCGTTGCTCAGCCATCGATCCACGCGACCATCCAGCCACAGTTTCACATCCGGAAAAAAACACAATGTGAAAAAGAATATATTTGATGAAATTATAAAGTGTAGAACTGCACCACGACTGTACAGATCGCCCAAATGTGCATCTATGATTTACAGGTACTATGTTCCTGTTACACTTTCTTTTTTTATTTTTATTTATTTAATTCCTTTTGCTTTTCTGAAAGAGAGGAACAACAACATGGAAGCGCTTGTATATTCTGATTCATTTCTCTCCACTGGTGCTCCCACTGATGGAAGACGGTTGCACACCCCCCTGAGCATAACCTGAGGGCTGTGTTTTCTGTCCACCGAACAACCACCCCCCCGAGAAACCTCATGTCTTCAGAGACACCACCTCTGTGAGTAGAGGACGTCAGCCTGAGGGACCTGACCCTGCAGAGGAACGTAGAGCTAGAGTCTGCAGAAGTGCACTGCGTCCTCGCATTGTTTAGGCTGCGCTCTTAGATCTGCCGCCGGTGTTTACTGCCATGGTAGGCGGGGTCAGAGCGAAGCTAATCCATCGTTAATCCATCGCACACGCTGCTGTAAATATCGGCCATCGATCGGCTCTCTTCTGGCACAACGCGGCGCTGTTCCGCAGACAGAAAATACAGCCTTAACTGTGCTAAAACAACTGAAAAAAAAGACCAAAAAAAGTTAAAAAACAAAAGCAAAACAAAAATATCTAAAGACTATTGAATATATTAAAGAGTTACCTGCCTGTTATTTAAGCGAATAAATACACCTGTATACTGTAGACTAAATCTGTATTGAAATCTAAGAGAATTTAATGGGAAATAAATCCAACACCTTTTGTCTGTATGAAAGAAAAAAAACCCATCAAAGTATTCTACAATAATAACTTTGACAAACTCTGTTTGGTCTTGTGTTGTTTGTTCAGACTTTTCCTACAGGAAAATGTTCCTACATTCATGCTTTCCAGAACTTTCTGCCACTTTTAGTGTTTATCCTCCAGATACAGAGCTGTGAATTATGATCACTTCCGTTCAAACTTTCTTGTCACACCTTGATGTGTCTTAAAATCAAAGATAACCTGAGTAAATATTAAAAAAACAGCTCATTCATTCGGGAAAAACAAATAACCACCTTTTGCAATAAATAATCCCGCTGATTTCCTTCTGTTTTGGAGGATTTTGGATCATTTTTCTTTGCAGAATTGTTTCAATTTCTGCACTTATGAGGATTTAGCTTTATCTTTTTACTTCTGCATAACCAAATTGCAAACTAAAGGGCGGCTCACCCCCTTATTGCCTCTTTTTGCTAATAAACTGTATAAATTGTTTGTCTTACATTTCCCCAGCATTAATTGGAGGAGATCCTGCTTTTGAAATGTGTCGTTTGCTCTAATCCGTGCCCTATAGACTGCAGCTCCAACATGAGTGAATGGAAGTAACGGAATTAGGTTAATTCAACGTAACTAATTTATGATTTTGATTTAGGCGTATAATTACTATAAGCTTAGAATTGAATCTCCACATTTTAAAATATTCTTAATGAAAATATTCCAGTGAGGTTTGTCCAGAAATGACATATAGAAAAATAAATTCTTCCTTTTAAGCAGGGCTCCGTTTCACGAAAAAGGTTTAATGATGTTTTATAAACCTGAAATCAGGGATAATCTGACTTTTCTGTTCCACAGAGTTTCCTCATCCTCCGTATCTGTTGCCATAGTAACATCCTCCTCAGAGCTAACCTGGTCAGCAGCAGGTTTCCTTCGGTAAACTCAGTCTCCGCTCTCCTTACAGCCAATCACGCTGCTTTGTTCCCTGATTTAGTCTGATTTTGTGATTTAACATAAAATAAAATCATTCCCTAGGTCCATAAGGTTTTAAACCTAATGTTTTAGGTTTAAAAACATTAAAGTTTTAAAACAAACGCTGCATGTCCGTTAGATGAGGAATTTATTAAAGAATGATCAGCATTAATTCACAGAGAATTAAATATTCATAGGGAGAGGATTCTACAATTCAGTGACAGGATATGAGATTACTGATTTTTGGTTTGTTTAATACGAGCGAGATGCGGGTCATTTTATTTTTATTTAGTTATATTCGCAGCACATGAAGAACTGCTGAGATTATTTTCAGATTACACATAAATAGATTAATTAATTCCACGGGAAAAGGAATTACTTTAGGGTTAGGATTAGGATTCACTGGTGATAACCCACTGAGCCTTTTGGCCCAATCTGAAGCCATTCTATGGGACTGATAGCCGCTAATAACAACCATTTATTGGGATGATAACATCTGAAGCAGCTGCAAACACTTAATATTTACTGTGTAAAAAAGACTGAATCAAACTGAATTAGATAATAAACAGGTTCTATATATTAGAACATTTTTATTCTTCATCCTCACCTGCTGACAGATGATTTCACCTAACTTAGGGGGACAGGCGGCTTAGTGGTTAGGGCATAGGGCCTGGAATCCTGAGGTTCTGAGTTTAAGTCCCACTCCAACAGACTGCCACTCTGGGTCCCCGAGCAAGACCCTTAACCCCACACTGCTCCCCGGGCGCCGCACAATGGCAGCCCGCTGCTCCCTAAGGGGATT